TTTTTGCTGTGATGTTTTTCTCTCTCTGAACTGTGGTCCTGTTTACTATCGGCCACTTAAATTTACCCCTGGGTAATTTCAATCATGAGAATAGTAGTGAATGGAAAGTGTAGTCCAAGTGGGGCTGCCTTCTCAGTTTGTCACTCGTGTTTGGTAAATATAGTAAAGAAGATCTCCGGGCAAATGACATATTAATCCTTGCAGTAGCCCCTACCCCCCACTGCAAGGGTTAACTGCTTGTTTTGGTCTAGGGTCTAAAATTAAAAAAGATATTCTCACCTGATCCTTATTCCCTCCTTGCTGCTAGACCGGTCCTTGCAGCTTCTTTTTTCCCTGGGCTCCGCTGGTCTAAGCCCCTCTGATGGTCCTCATGTTTAATTCAAGTCTATTGACTTGCATGGGACATAAGGAAGCTGACGGACATTCCAGAAACGGTGGGGAGAGAGGTGAGCGATCACTGTAAGCCACTGTAAATTACAAAGGTTAAAAAAATAAGTTTAGAAGAGTTAGAGTTTTATTTTTATTTTTTTTTGCAAGCTTGAACAATTATCTGAGGTTTTTTTTTTCTTTTTCTTTAAGAAAACATAAGTCAGTATGAATTCTGAAGAGTATTAATGATCTTTATTACATCAGGGATTGAGGAGGTAGATGCAACCAGGGACTCCAAATATAGTCACAAAGTTGTGGATCGGCCTCTTATTTATATATTTGATTCTGTACAGAGGTAGAATTTGGTCAGTTAAAGTTTTTCAAGTTACCACGGTTAAGGGGAACGTTTTTCTTCCATTTTAAGAGGAAATACTGTATTTGAAAGGCAGAATGGAATTCATATGATGTGACCACCTCCGCTGCAGAGGCTGTGCAAGCATTACCTCTGGCCCGGGACTATCCAGTCTTGTATATTGACCACTGAAATTGTAGGTACTATAGATAAAAAAAATTAGCCTAAGATTAGTTGTAGTGTCTAAAGAGAGATTCTCAGGGTTTGATGTTTCCACATACAAGAGGGACAAATAGTATAAATCTGTTTAAAATATTTAGAGGGTATTGAACAGAGAGAATTAGCTAGATTGTAAAGGATTTTTTGGCAAGAAACACTTTTTTTTAATAGGGTGATCCTACCCATATTGAGAGGAAGGTCCATTCACTGTCTTGTTTTGGTAAGTAGGGTTTCAGTAAGGGGTGGAAGATTGTCGGGGTTGGCAAACATCAGGTGACTGCCTGCTGTTTACATTCAGCTGCAAGCCCAGCTACATGTAAACAGAATATCTGTTCCTGATATCGGTTATCGGCCTGAAAGGTTTGCCCATAATCGATATCGGTTCCGAAAAATTGATATCGATCAAACCCTTAATCCGCAGTGTTGTTGGAGTGATCAAGTTCCCGGAGGTTGGTGAAGATCTTGCAGGTTAGCAGGGAATCCTACTCGTGCATCTCCTCGAAATACTGTGCAAGACCGGCTTTTCGTTGTTGTTGTTTGCTTTTTTGTGTATTTCTGTATCCTGCAAGGTTCTGGCCCTGTGATTGTTAGTTTACACCTCCAGCAGATGAATGGTCTGTGCCACAGATATTAGCAGGACACAAAGCATATTCCACACAGCATTGCACTAGAGAGATGTTACAAGGAGTAAAGGAATCTTTGGAGTTAGGAATCATCCCTGAATTTGGGAGAAGACTTAATGTGACATGAAACCCTCAGATTTTTTAACATAAAACAATACTGTAATGTGTGCCTTACTGTAATCCATGGTAGTTTTCCTTCTCTTTGCTGCTCTTCCTTTTAAATCCGTATCTCTTCTCATGCTGGGGGAGAACTTCCTTTTGCAGCTGAGTGCCTCTTCCTGTAGTGCTGGCTCAGGTTGTGAACCTGCACACAGACACCATGTATCCATTTCAGAGACAAGGCAGTCTGCTGCAAAACAGAAGTTCTGATCAACATGAGAAGAGATACGGATTTAAAAGGAAGAGCAGCAAAGAGAAGGGAAACAACCATGGATTACAGTAAGGCACACATTACAGTATTGTTTTATGTTAAAAAAGCTGAGGGTTTAATGTCACTAACTCCTTTAGCAAATCAGCCTGAAAAGCAAACTTCTGCTTATTCCATGATTTGATAATCAAGGTGAACACGGCTACAATTGAAGTTAAGATTCTGAACTCCTTTAGTTAAATCAACCCCATTATTTTGTGTCCTTGGCCTATCCTCAATGTGTGAACATAATGATATCTTCTTTCTGCAGGTTTGCATTTTCGCCACTTATTGAGGAAGATGAAGATGATGAACAAAAGGAACCAATGTTAAAAGAAAGCTTTGGTAACTACCACAATACACATGACACTTTGTCCTTGTATGACCACTTTTCTGCATTGCGGAGTTAAATGTAGAACATAAGAAGAAATTACAATTACACTGTCAGAGTTGATTGGTGGTTTTGCACAAAACTGTTTGCTTATGATTCAGGCAAAATACTGCCAATTAGTAGTTTATACGTGTGTTGCAAGCTGATAATTTGCCATGTGTGCTCGTTTCTGGTCTCTGTCTGAAAACACATTTAATTTTTTAGGAGGTTGTCACCACTCATTCTCCCTACAGTACCCAACTCCATTTTTAGGCTGGGGTCAGGGCTCACCTGAAATTCCCAAGCCATCAACTGTTTAGCTTCAGTAGCCCTCTGATCCTCTACCCCAGCAACAGTGAGTCCTATATTTATATACTGACCGATTCCCAGTAACCACTTCCCATCCGCACATTGTAAATAAACAGACAAGACGGCAAGCACCTTCCAGCGGGGCGCCATAAATATACAGCTTTTTTTTTCTGCTCGCGCGTGCCCCCGAGCAGCACACTGTCAGTTGTAACGGCTGTTAACACATACAAGCAATCGGTGGCTCTATAGCCTTCCGATCACTTATATGTGCTGCCCTGCAGTGTGCGCCCCCCCTACTTCACGCCGACCTGTCAGTGTACCTGTGCTATCACATAGGGGGGTTGTTAGCCCCCTATGTGATAGCAATAACATTAAGTGTTAAAACCCCAGTGGTGATTAAATACAAAAGAAAGCTCCATCTGTCACCAACATTTTTTATAAAATTAATTTCAGTACAGTGTTGCATGACTGAAAAAAATGTCATGGTACTTCTGCACTTCTCATATAAGAAGACAGGTAGGAGGAGGGGGGAGTACACACAAGGACCGGAACGTAATCAGGGTCCAGACACGTGGGAGACCATGACACGCAGCACAACACTACGCATATGTCCACCCTAGGGCTGCTCCCCGACGTATCCATGACAGTGAGGGAGGCCAGGCAAGTTCTTGTCCAATCTGCCCCACACGACTACAAACAGATTCCTCCCTCTCCTCCTCCCCCCCCCCCAAGACGGAGAACGAGCAAGATCTGGGCTGCATGGGACACATACCTGGAGGGAAAAAAACGGGGAACCACAGCGCAGGTATCTGCATCCATATGGTCCCACAGACAGTCCCCATGATTCCAGGTTGAATCGCATAAAGTGAACATCCAAGGATGACACAATTCCAGAAATGTTTTGTATGACAAAATTGAATTAACATTTTTTTAATGAAATATTATCATATATAAGATTTATCCGTAATCTTGGAAACCATTGGTAATAATTAACATAACAGCATGTTTATTTACATTTACAATAACCCCTTTATTGGATATATCCTATTTTCACATGCATACCCCTACAGAAATGATTTAAAACAAATCATTTCATTAAGTCCTGGAGGCACGTTGGACTTTAACCAGAAAATCCAACGTGTCTCCACTTGTAGCAACTCAATATTCCCACCCCTTCCGTCCTCGTGTACATGGTCTAGTATGTCAAATCTGATACAGTTGGAGTCAAACTTGTGGTAGAGCCCAACATGCCGGGCTAATTGGTGTGGTCATTGTCTATTATGTATACGTCTACACACAGGTCTGATGGTTTTTCCAATATAGAACACCCAGCATATGCAGTACATTAAATACATTCATGAATAGATGACATAGAAGATAGCTATGAGAAAATAATGCCATAATCCACCAGTTTTACAGAGTAATTACACTTTATTTGTATTTTCCACAGAGGGAATGAAAATGAGAACTTCAAAACCAGAAACAAATGGAAATACAAAAGTACCCAAAGCTGTAAGTATATACATGAATTTTGTGTGAGGAGTAAATGGCTATAACGATAGTGAGCAGATTTCAGGGTCCTGATTGGTTGTTAATGGTTACAACATAATGCAAGACTCTTTATATGCTTTTACCAGCCTGGTGATGTATAGGGTGCATTCTCTTTAATTGTAAACCGTTTTCAGCATTATTTTGAGATCCCCCCCAAAAAAAAAAGTGTTTGCTTCTAAATGAAAAAGCTCAATATACAATATTGCATATTTAATTTGATTTAACTTTACCCAGTCAAGCTCCTGATGGATGCTTACGGCACATCACCTGTCCTGAGACATGAAGGCTACCATTGGCAACCATTCCTTCTGAAGATGCTAGTTGGCTGGTTATCATGTTAGACATGATACATGAGTCATATACACTAAAAATAAATAAATAAATAGTAAGGGTGGAATAAAATAATGTCACGAGTATAGGAACTTCTTAATGTTCCTGGACTTTACTGATCTACATATGAGTTCTAAGTTAGAAAAAAAAGAGGATCAAAACTGTCAAAGCCAGTGGGTCAGCACAGCATTCACTCAACTAGCATTTCCAGAAAGGTCATCCTTAATGGCAGCTTCTTTATTTCTATTGCATACATCAGTTACCTGTTATTTAAATGGCTGCAATCTTTTTCTATGAAAAAAACAAATGTGTATTTGACAGGAGGAGGATTTGAAATGGGTGGAGGAGAACATCCCTTCTTCTGTCACTGACGTGTGAGTATTTCCAGCTGATTAAAGCAGATTTAATGATGTTGCACTCCTTTTATCCATAAAGTGGAATTTGGTTTTGTTAACCCCCTCAGTGTAAACCATACACGTTGCACATATTTCAGCAAACTTTAGTGCAGAGTCTTACATTTCTCTTTGTCTAATGTTGGCCTTTCTCATACTGACTGGGAATAGGAAAAATGACACTACCTGCATCCTTTGGGCTAGAGTCTTAGAAAGTACTGAACAAACTCAAAACTCCTATTACAGGAGATGTCTGTAATTTGATTTCCATGTTTGCCGACTTATGGGAGAATAGTTTGCCAATCACTTTTTGTATGAAATATTTAATATGGGGGCGATTTGTGTATGCTGTTGCATACAGGATACTCCTGTTTAGCAATAAAACGGCATGTGACGTTCATGGCAGTTTTTGACAATCCTAGGTGCCTGCAGGTTGACATGGAAAGGTAAGTTTTCGCGCTTTTTATAGCAACAATGTAATACTACCACATTTGTTTCACAAAAGAGAATTTGTCCTTTAGGCTTGATTCATACTTGTTGCAGTCCATTCTTTTTTAAAGGGTTGTCATTGCACATCTCTGCATTGTGGTGCACTGTAGCGAACATTTTCCCCTTCGTCTTCCAGAACAGCTTACGAGAGATAGGCTCCGCCCCTTTTAGTAAGAAACGCGTCACCCCTAGTTGTTTTAAAAGGTCCGCCTCTCTCCTAGCTCCTAGTTTTTTGTGTTTCCTCCGTCAGGGGGAGACATGTCACCGGAACGGTTGGGGGATATGGGAAAGGTACCCCAGTGTTCCCTCTCAGTGGGACCCTTGTGAGCGTCAGAAGTACCTTAGTAGGCCGCCGGTGCGCTCCTCTGACAGTAGGGTATTCTCCACCGGATCCTTCGTCCTCTTCAGTGCCCGGGGAGGGCCAGTACCGGAACCTGTGTTACCCCCTTGGCTGAATCCTTGGACCGAGTGGCTCAGCAGTTAGGGGCCGGCGGTCTGGGGATTCCGGGAGGTTCTCCACGGCCGGATCGGATGGCCGACTAGGTCACCTCCGGTGCTTCCACTTGCGTTCCAGGCCTCGTTTCCGGCGCAGAGGAAGGGGGATGGGCCTGGCTGGTATCTTCTTCTACAGCCCGCACAGATGGATACAGGTCCTTCAGGCACCAGCTCTCCTCAGGTAGGTTGATACTTCCATGTATTCCCTCCCTGTAGTTCTGACTATAGCTATTTCCTCCACCTGGGGCTCATTGGTGTTGGGCTTAGGGTGTTGAGGGGGCACTATGAGTAATCTACATGAGGTTAGCAGAGAGTCAATTCTGCTTATTCTGTGTTGCAGGTCCAGGTTTCTAAGGGCAAGGCGGTCCCAAAAAAGAAATGTGCACTTTGCTCCTTGAAGCTGAGGTCTGATTGGTAGAAACCCTTTTGTCAAAAATGCATTGAAGGAGTGTGCAGGGAAGAATCTGCCTCAGCATGCGGTGGCTTGTTGTCCACTGTTAGGGAAGAACTAGTTTCTACCTTTTGTCCTCTTTTAGATCCCTGATAGCAGATTTGAGACCAACTGCAACACAGGTTTTGGTGCCCAGATCTCCGGCTCAGGCTCAGCTTCTCCAGATAGGGTCTAGGTCAGGAGAGGTCTGTCAGAGGGAGCCAGGGGAGTATAGCGTCGCTGCATCCTCTCATCAGGGATCTTCTGCTGAAGAGGACAGTGACAGGGACGATAGTCCTCCTACCTCTAAGTATAAATTGTCTCTAGAAGAGGTAGATGAATTGTTGGGTACCGTGTATGATACCCTGGATATTCAGGAGGAAAAAGTGCTGCTGTCTAGGCACGATTTGATGTACCAGGGGCTCCAGCAGCCGAAAGCCAGAGTTTTCCCGGTGCACAAAGTACATGCGGATACTATCTGTAAAGAATTGGCTGAACCAGAGAGAAAACCTCTTTTTTTTCAACAGCCTAAAGAGCCGTGGAACAAGGTTCCTAAAATTGATGCATCATTGTCAAAGGTCTCGAGGAAATCAGACCTAGCCTTTGAGGATATGGGGGTACTTAGAGACCCAATGGACCGAAAGGCTGAGGTACTGCTTAAAGGGGCGTGGGACTCGCACAAGTCTCAGGTCTGCCTTGGCAACAACTTGTGTTTCCATAAACCTAGAATACTGGCTTACCCAGTTGAAAAATCGCTTGCGGGTACGCCGAGAGAACAGATCATAAATTCCCTTCCAATGCTGTTCAAGGCCATTGCTTTTATGGCAGATGCTTCAGCTGATTCAGTCAGAATGGCTAGGACGGGAGCCTTGGTCAATTCTTCTCGCAGGGCGATTTGTTTAAAGGCCTGTGAGGGGGATGCGGCCTCAAAATTGAGGCTTGGCAATCTCCGTTTAGTGGCGATCTTCTTTTTGGGCCTGAATTGGAGGCCATACTAGAACGTACATCTGATAAGTATTTTCCAGAGAAAAAGAAGCTCTTTCGTAGATTCTTTAAGGGGCCCAGGAACAAGGGTCAGAATACGAAGGGGGAACAGCCCAAGAAACATTGGACAGGGCAGAAAGGCAAGGGAAAGGGGAGTATTTCTACTAACCCTCCCTCACAAGCTCCAAAACAGCAGTGACTTCTGTGTGAGGGTGGGGGGAAGGCTAGCGGGGTTTCTTCCTCGTTGGAGGGAGATTACTTCCAATCATTATATCCTCAATCTCATCCAAGAGGGGTACAGGTTGGAATTCTGCAGCCCCCCACCCCATCGTTTTTTTATCACAAATCTCCCGAGGAACGCATCTCGAGCAAACGCTCTTTGCCTTCTGAGAGTTGGTGGATCAAAAAGTGCTTATTCAGGTTCCGGATCAGGAGAAGGGTCAGGGCCTGTACTCTCACGTATTTGTTGTGCAAAAGCCGTCAGGGAAGTACAGGTTGATCCTAAATCTCAAACTCTTGAATTTAGTGATCAGGTACAAGAGGTTCCCATGCACTCCCATCTTTTCGGTCCGGCACCTGTTGCAAAAGTGTTCCTTTTTCGCGACTCTAGATTTAAGAGATGCCTATCTCCACATCCCAATTCACAGGACGTCCCAAAAATGTTTACGCCTAGCGGTAAGAGTAGGTCAGACGGTGGTACATTACCTGTTTAGAGCACTTCCTTTCGGGCTGTCTTCGGCCCCTCGCATTTTTACGAAAGCTTTGGGGGAGGCAATAGCTCCTTTACGGATGCAGGGGATTTACATCATCCCTTATTTGGACGACATTCTACTGTCCGCCAACTCAGCGGCTCAATGCACCAGAGACCTGGAAGTTACGCAGGTTTGGTTGCAGGAACTGGGATGGGTAGTGAATTTACAAAGGTCCAATCTTGTCCCCTCTCAAGTTATGGTGTTTCTAGGGTATATCCTGGATACTGTGGAGCAGAGGACCTTCCTTCCGGAAGAAAAAAATTCTTAAAGTGGGAAATGCGGTAAGCCACTTACAAACAAATTGTCCCAGATCCTTAAAGGGAGATCATGTCTGTGTTGGGTCTGATGAAAACCTGTCTACCGGCTGTTCAGTGGGCAAGATTCCACCAGAGGGGTCTGCAGGGGTTCCTGTTGAGAAGGTGGGACCATTCACAGGATACCTTGGATGCTGCGGTTATTGTTCCTCCTTCCGTGAGGAGGGGCTTATGGTGGTGGAGGAACCGAAGTTCCCTGTCAGGGGGTCTTCAATGGTCTTTTCCCACTATCATAAGGTTGACCACGGATGCAAGTGCCTGGGGATGGGGAGCACACCTGCAGGAACAGATGACTTAGGGACAGTGGTCCCAGCGGGAGGCAAGAATGTGCTCCAATAGGAGGGAGCTGAGAGCGGTATTGAACGTGGTACTAGCGTTCAATAGATAAGGCATCAATGTCTGCTAGTGCTCTCGGACAATATAGCCACTGTGTGTTACCTAAACAAACGGGGGAACCAGGAGTTCTTACCTTCAGGCGATAGCGAAATAAATCTTAATTTGGGCAGAAGTGAATCTGGGTTCCCTTTGGGCAGTGCACCTAAAGGGAACGCAGAATACTCTGGCAGACTATCTGAGTCGGTTTCAAGTTCTCCAGGACGAATAGAGCTTGGATCAGGAAGTCTTCGACCTCCTAACTCAGAAGTGGGGTTTACCGCATGGGGCAATGCAAAATTAGGCCACTTTTTTCCCCTGAATGCAGCAGACAGTGCAGTGGCAGTGGACGCCCTGTCGCATCCTTGAGGTTATCGTCTATGCTACGCATTCCCACCCATTATGCAGATGGCAGAGTGAGAATTTGGCGGGAACAGCATGAAAGCATGCACCCCACATGCATGAGTACAACCCTTCAAGCTGGTGGGGGCAGTGTTATGGTTTGGGGCATGTTTTCCTGGCATGATTTGGGCCCTTTAATTCGTGTGGAACAACGTCTGAATAGCACAACATACCAAAGTATCGTTGCTGATCAAGTTCATCCTATCATGTTGATGGCGTATCCCAATGGAGATGGCTTCTTCCAACAAGACAATGCTCCATGCCACGGTGCTCGTATTGTGCAGGAGTGGTTTCAAGAACATGAGGGAGAATTTACCTTGCTTAGGTGGCCCCCACAATCACCAGATCTCAATCCAATTGAGCATTTGTTGGACAAAGTTGAAAGAGCCATCAGGCAGCTGGTTCCACAACCATCAAATCTCACAGAACTGGACAGTGCTATTCATCAGGCATGGTGTCAGATTCCTCGCATCACCTTTCAACATCTCGTGGAGTAAATGCCAAGAAGAATCGCCGCAGTATTGAAGGCAAAAGGTGACCCAACGAAGTACTGATGGTGTGGTCATAATAATCTGGCCCCATATATATATATATATGGGTTATACACAGATCAGTCATACAAATAAATAATGCAAGTAAGAAAATAGGCAATGAGAACAATTAAATGTACATAGCAGTAGAGTATAAAACTTGGGAAACGTGAGTAGAGAGCATGTAAATCCAGGGTAACTGCAAATTGCTATGTAACCCACCACCCAAGAAGGAATGCAGATCGTGCAATGTTGTGTTATGGTGTGGAGTGACATCTGGTAGGAGCAAGCGGGAAATAAAACATTCACTTCACTGCACATTATCACAATAGTGTGAATGGGTCCTAGAGGGCTGCAGCTTGCCATCCACACATACCTTGTATGAAGCTTAACATTGATTGTAATATTCCTGTGCATGAACAAAAATGATCTTGCATATAAAGGAGTTTGGTACATCTGTAGATATAGGTATTAAACCTTTGTTTTTGTGGTGGTGTGTGTGTCTGTGTGTGTGGTGGTATCGGTGCCGATTCCGAGTATTTGGGTGAGTACTCGTTCAAATGCTCCGATGCCTAGCCCCATACTTCCGGTATCAGGAAGCCAGCTTATGACAAGAGAGCATGGAGACAGCTTCCCGGCCAATCAGGAAGCTGGGCAGCATGTAATGACGCGGCGCTGGCTTTCTAATTGCTCGGGAATCCGGCTTCATGCTCCCTCGTCATGAAGTGGAGCCGGCTTCCCGGCCAATCAGGAAACCAGGCACCGCATCATTACACAGCGCCCGGCTTCCTGATTGGCCAGAAAGCCCGCTCCATGCTTTCTCGTCACCTAGTGATGAGAAGCATGGATACGGCTTCTCTGCTAATCGGGAAGCCGGGTGGCAAGTCTTTACACGCTGCCTGGCTTCCCGGCTAATCAGGAAGTCAGGTGGCGAGTCATTACACGCCGCCTGGCTTTCTGAATGGGACTTCGGTACTCGGTAAAAAAAAATATCAGTACTCTATACCGAAGTCGGTGTATCCCTAGTGGTGGTGGGGGGAGTTAACCATTTCACACAGACTGGGCAATTTACAAAATTGGGTGTATGGAACAACTAAGTATTATATGATTAGGTAAGAAAATCATACTGTTCTATTTGGCAAATACAATGGTGTGCAAAATGTTCAGGTTGTGTTTCCAGAAAAGCAGAAACAGAAGCTGAAAAATCAAAGACTATATTGGCAATCACTGCACAAGATGGACATTTGTTTTTCTACACAGCCCCTAAAGACCAACTTTCTCTAAAATTAGGGAGCCGCCCCTTGAAATTCCTTACATTTTCTATCTTTTAAATTCTGCACAAAATGACTGTAATGTTCTGGTTTTTGTATTTCAGAGCTCTCCCAACATTACTGGATTCAGACGAGGTCAGTATCTGTCAGTTATATTTCTGGCTATGAAAGCAGAACTCATGACTGTCATGTGCTCAGCCATTACTGAGTCATCTAACAGTCCAGCACATGTAAAGACGCACAAATCAGATTTCATAAACTGAGGCAGGAAATCCAATCAACATACGTTTTTTAAGCAATTTGTATGGTGTTTTTCTTTTAATGCATTGCAACACAGAATGCCAACTGATACTGTAATCTTAGAGCCTACATGGTTGGTTTTCTAAAGGCAAACAGGCTGATCACTTTGCAGGGGAATTTTGCCTTAGATACATTTTGCATGGAATACCCAATCATGTGCAAGGAAAGTAATAGAAATAAATATTTTTGCTTGCACATGATTGGGTGATGGAAGTCGCAGAACTTCATCTCATTTACTAAATGAAGGGGAAACGTTCCCTGCAAAGTGCAGCTTCATTTGCACAGTGAACAGCCTTTCAGAATAAGCATCAGTCTTGTTTTAGATGTTTTATTGTATGCTGATTATCGTCATATACTGTAACCCCTATGGTTAGCTGCAGACAGCAGTCAGCGTATTTGTTTCCTAACTGATCATATGATAAATAACACCAATATGACATTTAGGAATAACACGCTATAAATAACTAGCCGGGAAAGCAATACTGACACTTGTAGCACATCGGAGAGACTGTTTAGATTGTACTGCCAGTGGAAGAAATGAGCAAGTTTGCATTTCAGTTAACTAGAATTAATGATCCACAATGGTTTGTGCATCTTTACACACACATACTGAGGGGAATTTATCAAAACTGGAGCAGACAAAATCTGGAGCAACTCCAAACTTTTTTTTTTTTTTCAAAAGTTTCAGTAATTTTTCCTTTATCGTAAATATAGTAATAAATAAATATAAAAAATAACCCCAGTGGTGATTAAATACCACCAAAAGAAAGCTCTGTGTCCCCAAAAATGTTATAAAATTCACTTCAGTACAGCGTTGCATGACGCAATAAATGTCAGTCAAAATACCGCAGCGCTGAATACTGAAAAATGGCCTGGATGGGAAGGGGGTGCAAACACCTGGTCAGCAAGTGGTTAAATTACATGATTATATTTATTTCTGTTAACAGGAACGAATGATAACACATTTTGAAAGATCCAAAATGGAGTGAAGAAGATGAAGAGGTCGAAGAAACGGGTGAACTAAATTTGAGTGAAGAATGCTGAATGTTTCCGATCAATGGCCTGCTATTGGAAAGTAAAGAGGTTGCTATCAAAGGCAAAGCCTTCCCTCCACATGAATCCACTTACCTTATATGAGAAAGGTCAAGAACATGCCCCAAAATCATATATTACCCTTCATGCAGGACATTAAAATAAGCATTTCACTCTGTGCCCTACTATTTCGGAAATTTTTACATAGGTTTGGCATCAAACTCCAGTAAGAGTGATCTGAGCCCTTCTGGTCTGCAAATGGTTATGGGCAGTCCTGCACTTTAGTTTTATTTATGTAATTTAATGAAAATCAATGAGACATGCGTTGTTGTCTCTACATATAGGTGGTTGACTGATTGGGGTGACATTTATGTGGGCTAATAGTATTTTACTTGTGCTTTATTCTGGGAAATTCCGTTTACAAACCCAAGCTTAAACGTTTGTTCTAAGTTCCCTTTTTTCCCCTGTTTTTTTATGAAGCTGAAATGCAATTTACAGGCTGATGGAGCTGCTGTCCAGGTTATCAGTAAAGCCAATAACACTGATTCAGTTTACAAAGATATTTTTTGTAATGGGAAACTGTAAGCACGATAATTAAAGAGAATGTGCATATTAGGACAGTGCTGCCATTGTGAACTCTGAGGCAGCAGTCTGTTATGTATGTGGTTTAGCGGGTGTGGCAGAAGATATATTGCCTCATTGGTATTAAATCTGCGGTTCTGGTCTTCAGAACAAAAGGTTTACCGCTTTAAACACTAATATGTAAAGCATACCATGCTCTTTAAGGTTAAAAAGACAGGACGGAGAGCAGTGGTGTGCAGTACCCAATCAAAATTCAGCGTTTGAGCAGATAGACTAATACAAAAGGGTTGCTGTTTGGATGTCATGTATTGCAGCAGTGTGCATATTCCCCTTACCTTGATAAACATGCACATCAGTGAATCTGTTCTTCCTAAAATGGCTTTTATAACCTAATTCCACAACAACAACAAAAACCCTATAACCCTCTCTGTAAAAACACACTTATGTGTATGGTGTGCCCTCCTGTCAGTGACTGGTATCAATTGCTGGGGTGTAACTCATTTCTATATATAGCCATTCCTCCTCCTGAGCCTATCATAGCTAGGTCAGAGGTCAGAAGAAGGAAAAAAAACTAATCTCCTATGATAAAGAAGCTTCCCCACTTCTGCTCTTTGTACACTTTTGGAGGAGACAACAAATGCATATTGACTGCTTACCCAGTAGTAAAATCCAGAACTTGGATTTGTGATTTACTCATGGGAACACATTGGGCCTCATGTATGAAGAACATGTACCAAATCAAAATATCACCAGTACACCGTGTTCAGATGAAAAGACAGGACGCATCGTTACCAACAGGAAGCAATGTTTCAAGGTCATTGTATGGTTGCATTTACGAAGAACAGGTAATCGCCTAGAAACCTGTCAACCGCACATTTCTTGTTTGAAGAATCTTCCCTAGCGAAGGGAAAATGAGACTTGGTTGGTTGAGGGGATACAAAGATTGTTCTTCAGTCAGATATGTTCTACATAGGAGCAGAGTTCTTCTGTATAGCAAGATTTTCAAAGTGCACCCATCACAAAGCCAAACTGCGTGATAAGCCGTTTTATGACTTCCAGGCCACAGTAGTTCAAGGCAGTGAGACTGAACATATGAAGATTCACTATGAGGGACGTTCCTGTTCTGAAACTATTTTGCAGCTCAGGAGTTGAAGAATAGCTGATTCATTCTTAAATGCCTAAGTACGAAGAGTTGTCTCGAAATTGTCCCCTACTCTAAACTGTCACATGCTTGCAGGGCACTTCCTGTGTGACTGCTGAATAGCCCTGGAGTGCTTAGCTGACTTGTGTATGAAGCTGAGTTAACTTTGCGATATTTAGGAAGGGCTCAGGGGGATTTCTAGAATGTGTGCCAGTTTGGAGGGTTTTTTTTGTCGAAAATGCAGTTGGGAAATTATGCAAAATGTGCAGTGAGTCACAAAGATAAATATCAAATTCTATTGTATCCCCTGCACTCCCATACAGCGTACAGACCTCAGCACTCAAATGTATGCGTGAAGTGTAAACGCTTTTCACTCGTTACTTGGGTCATTAAGCCATAGTTTGGGGGCTATGCAGTGTCCCCTTCCTCAGGGTGACATAGTGACGATCATGGTCACTATGTCGCCCTGAGGAAGGGACCCTGCATGGCCCCGAAACATTGGCTTTGTGACACAAGTGAATAAAAGCGTTCACACTTCACGCATACATTTGAGTGCTGGTGATTTCTGCTATCGATTGAGCAAAGATGAATATGGCACAAAACAGATAAAACGTTGCGGTTAGTTAGCATGACATTTTGGTCTTTGTGACAAATTGTCGCAATCACGTTAATAAATTCCCTCCTAGTGATTTGCATTGTAAAACTGGCAGCGTTCAGAGTCCAAAATTGAAAACTCGACAAGCAAGTGCCATACACTGGACCGCATATAGTAATCAGTTAATTGTGCTCAATCTAAAGGTTTTATTTATAAGGTGTGATTGACTGTTCAGCAGTTTCAATGCACTCAATTACTTTTTTTTTTTTCATTTGCTGGTTGATTGACATGTTTGTGCTTTTTAAGTAAGATGTATTTGTCCTTTTTATAAGAATAAACAACTTGAAATGTGTCTTGGTGCTTAATTATTTTTAAAAAATCAGATTTACATTTATTCACCTATAGCCCAAAGGCTATAGACCTAGAGACCCAAGTGTGCAGCCTTGTCTATACAGGGGAAGGGAGCCATGATACTTTTGGAACCACTGTTTGGCGGGATGTGCGGCACTTCTCACAAATTATCCATTATGGTTTGTCACTTGATTGGGGGGGTCTGGTGTGCTCTGGTGGTACACCTGGGTCACCTGTAGCCAAAATTAGTTGGGTCAGGAAAGAGTAATTTGTTGTCTCTAGCTACGGTTTCCTTTTAGTCATTTATGGTTTTAGGGCCCAGTCGCACCATATCCTGTGCGTCCTAGTGCAGTTCACACACTGGATCGCATACATGAAGCCGGGTGCGTTCTGGGACGGGAGGGGGTGTGTCGGTGCTATTCATGTCAATTGAATCGCAGACAAGCCCCCCGCCCGCACCAGAACGTGAGGAATAGGAGTGCCCTTCGTTCCAGTGCAGTACAATCTGAAAGAATGCTGCATGCACTATTTTTTCAGATTGCACTGCACTGGAACGGAGGGTACTCCTGTACCATGCAATGCAGTGTGTTCCAACCACGAACTGCACTGGGACGTACTAGATATGGTGTGACTGGGCCCTCAACTGTTAATATGATCACGGATGTCTCCAGGGAATGAAATTTATGTATTTTTTTTTTACATAAAAGGAGACTGCTGGAGTACATGGATCTGTTATTTTATGACACCACTGCCAGCTGCCATTGTACAGAAACATGGCGGGTTATCACCTCATCTTCCACTTTGGACATAGACACAGGCAACTTTGTCTTTTAAAACAACGCAAGACAAATCATTTGTGAATTATACAGCACCAGGTATTCTGCTGTTGTCAGCAGTGCTGTGCGGCTGCAAGGTTTCCCACATTTTGGTGCAGTTGGACAGCTAACTTCCTGTTCCTAGAATTAGCCTTCCAATGATGCCATTGATGTGATCCAGTGATTATAGGCAGGAGTCATTTGTGATATGTCTCTGATGTTAAACTCCTGACAGGCTCCTGTAGGGGGCTAGAAAAAAGGAGGGTGCCTAGGCAATGTTGCATGCAGAACTCTGCTACTGCTAATCAGGGATTCTATACACAAACTTTACATGTTTGATTTTGGATATATACACTTTGATCTATTAGTTTACCAGTCCTTCGATGTGGAGGCTACATTAGTTTTCTTTTTTCAGGCCTTTCTTGCTTTTATTTTCACCTACTGATACTGTCAGCAACACTCTTCCTGTCCTGGGGTGCAGACGCTCACTTACCTTACAGTATGTATGGAGGAGAAGCATTGTCACCCGAGGACTAGATGTTTTGGAGATATACAGGGTTATTCACAAAAGGGTGAAGAGTTTGGAGAAGACAGGAGAAGTGAACAACATAGCAGAACTGGAAAGTGAGCTGAATTGGAGAATTTATCCAAGTCGGCTATTTTGGCCTAGATTGTTCACTTCTCCCACCTTCTCCAAACTCTTCACCCTCTTGCGAAAAACCCTGATATACTTTAAAGTGGAACAGTGCTGCTGCAGTGCCCTCCTCCAGCAATGCAAGAACTGCGCTCCCCTTGTCGCTCAGTCACCACTGGTGCCATTTCTTCCCGATCTTCTGGTTTTGTAGCCTTTTGTCTTTAGCCAGTGTTCTCCACTGTCCATTCATGAATGACCTGACTCAACCCAGCATCTACCGAACTCTGAACTGGGCATAGGGCACTATCTGGGTATTAAAAACTGAAAGCAGGAAGAGAAGAGGTTTTATGGCAGAACAAAGCTATACCTGCTATCAATTGTTTTATACCTCAACTTCAGTTCCATTTTAATGTGCAACTTGTCTCCAAATAGTTGCAATGTATTACCCTATTATCCAAGTTAACATTGATGTTTTATAAAATACTTAATGTTTTTTAAATTGTTTAAACTACTTACTGTAGAAATACCTTACCTCTGTGAGGTCTCTGATCCCATGCTGATAATGATAGAAACAGATTTTGTTGAATGGAGGAACATTCACCATATTTATTCCCAGAGATTTTTTTTTCTACATTGTACAACTCATTCTGAATTCAGAAAGCGGGTCAGATGACCAGCAAAATGTTCAAGAAAAATACAGCAAGTCCAGCTGCCTTGATTTCTTTTTTACGGATATACCATGACCTGGATGAATGAGAACATTCACAGACGTACTTGGAAACGGTATTAACAAGTATCACCTGTTTGATTTTAATGCATGAACTAGAAAAACTGCAATAAAATGATCACTAGAAATACCTTGGTGCTTTGTGGAAATTGTTAATAAGGTACAGTTTAATAAGCCATTGAAGAGCTCTGTTTAACATTAATAAACAGTAGGGATGTCCCGATACAATTTTTTTAAGACCAAGTACTTCCCCTCAGGTACTCGCCAATACCAATTACTGGTACTTTTTTTCTAAAACAATACAGACTAATGATTTTAGG